CCTCTTGCACAGCGCTCTCCACTTTGCACCTTTCTGATGTTTAACTTCTCGTATGATCATCTGGTCGCTGCCTTTCACGGTCATGACCACGCTGAAGACAATCTTATGGTTTGCCGCGGTGCCCTCGTCATCCAGCGAGTTCTGGGTGTGCTCTGCCGAGATGTCCGGCTCGTTCCTGCGACCCTCAGCCGCCCTCAGCAGGCGCTGGGACACTTGCGCTCAGGAGGGGAAGAAACACACAGACACAATTAATCGTCGATTCCCTAGAAAATGTGGGAAACATGGGAAGTAGGGGGGAAAACAGAAACCCAGAAAATATGGGAAAATATGGGGAATCAGGTTATTTGTGTTCATTTATTTGTGTGTCCCAGTTCCCCTTCATGCGCCTGCCCTCCGAGGGAGGCCCTCATCACGAAGCACCCCTCCCGCCAGTGGTCCTCGGGGGTCCGTCGACGGCGGGCGCCTTGATCCTGACATCGCTCGGACGTGTGCATTTTTCCTTCGGCGAGGACCATCGAGGAGCATCCTCGATCATTTGGCGAAAAACCACGCACGAAACCGAAAAAAATCAGGGAATGGACGTCCGAGCGATGGCCAGTGATGCCGCCTCCCTGCCACTCGATGCCTGCCGCCACTGCTGCGGTCTGCCTGCCCAGCTCCGCCCAGCTGTTTCCCGAGCGCCCCTGGCTGCTCGGTGGTATCCGAGCCCCCCAGTGTGGTGGGCGTCGCCTCGACTCCTTTTTCGGGGAAGCGTGAGACTCGAGCAAGCCAGAGCTCGGGGCTTGCCGACGCTTTTCGACGAGCGCGTCCTGGATTCTGACGGTCCGGTTTTCGTGTGACGTCTGCAGCGGGAGCTCGCGTCAGATTTCACAGCGGGGACGCGAATCTTATGTCATTTACACACCGGTCGTTGAAAGTAGGTATTTTTGGATGCCCGAATCCCAATCTACTTTAGGCGCCTTCCTACTTCAAGAGTCGAGCGGTTTTCCTTTTTTCCTCTTCGGGGGGCGGGTGGAAGCCCAATCTACTTCCAACGCCCTCCTACTTCACGTTTCTGCCTACTTCTTCCGACCGATGGGTACGGGGGGCGTGCCCTCGGTGAAGCAACTCTTCGCTTAACTCACGAGGCGCCGTGGCCTCTCAAGGACTGGGCATCGCTCGGACGTATGGTTTCTCGGCTGGGGCCCTCGAGAAGCGTCCTCGGCCATCGGGCCAACAAAACACGCACGAAACCAAAAAAATCACAGGGAGGGGACGTCCGAGCGAGGGCGAGAGGACGGAACCATTGTACAATTTTCGCGGGATCACGTCTTCGAGGACGAGCATATGGCGTATTTGTCGAGGGATCGTGGCTTGGGGGGACGCGACTATCGTGTGATTTATGGGGGATCGTGGCCTCGGGGACGCGAGCATTGCGTAATGTACGAGGGGCCGTGGCCTCGGGGACGCGAACATTGAATAATTTGCGCGGGATCGTGGCTTCGGCGACGCGTTTATAGTATGATTTTCGATGGTGTCTGGCTTCGGGGGCGCAGGCATTACGTAGTCCACTCGAGGACGCGAAGAGTTATCCGTAAGGGCTTCGCCACGTGCCGCCGGCCCCCTGTCTCGGATAATGGGAGATGCGGAAGCTAAATCATGAGGTCTGGGCGCCGCCGTGAGAAAGTGTCGGGACCTGTTTGTTTTTCGACCCTGACCCTACGGATCTGCGTGAGGGGTGCCGCAGAATTTCAGAAATGTGGCAAATCCCATGTGTTTTTGGACCCTGACCCCGCCGATCTGCGTGAGGGGTGCCACCGAATTTTAGAAATGTGGCACATCCCCTGTGTTTTTGGACCCTGACCCCGCCGATCTGCGTGAGGGGTGCCGCCGAATTTCAGAAATGTGTCAAATCCCCTGTGTTGTTGGACCCTGACCCCGCCGATCTGCGTGAGGGGTGTTAATTTTGACCCACCCCAGCAATTCTGAGCACACGCTCAGGGCGTGGTAAACATGCCCGTTTGGGGCCTCCCCCCCTCGCGCGGTCCTTCAAGAAGGAACAGTTAGCAACAAGAAGCAGAATTGTAAACAAGGAACAGTAAGCAGCAAGAAGCAGAACTGGGATACTGGAAGCTGCAAATGGTACAGGAAACTGCGAACCTTAGGCCTACAGCCTGGTGGCCCCACAAGGGGGCCAGCGGATTTCCGAAGGTTTCTAGTTTCAAGGACGCAGGCATTGCGGAAGTCGCATTGACGCACACATTGAGGGATTATGGCTTCGGAGATGCGAATATTGTGCAATGTACACGGGATCGCAGCCCTAGTCACACACATTCAGCTTAATGTACAAGGGTTTATGGCTTCGGGGGCGCAAATATATCAGTTATAATGGACTGTAGCCTCAAGGACGCGAACATCGCATAATGTACGAAGGATTCTGGCTTCGGGGGCGCAGATGCTGTGTAATGTATGCAGGATTCTGGCCTCGGGGACGCAAACATTGCTTAATTTAACAAAGGCTCTGGGGACGCGAATACGGTATAATTTGTGAGAGCTTGCGGCATCGGGTGCGCAAAGATCGTATGATGTATAAAGAATTCTGGCGTTGGGTACGCGAGCATTGTATGTATGATTTACAAGGGTGTGGCCCCATGCTTGCGAATATCTCGTAAATTACGACGGTGTATTGCTTCGCGGGCACAAATCTCACGTATTTTCATGTGTTCCATTACCCACCCAGGAATTCTGAGACCACCCGGGGGGGCGTGGTGTAGGCGGTTTCGGGCTCCCCCCCGTCGCGCGGACTTCAATTGTTTACATAAAGGAAGCAGACAGTACAGTGGAGGCGCGCATCAAGAAACCATCTGCTTGTCGTCGGGGTATTCTGGGTTTCTTTGCTCCGCACGCTGCGCGGTGACTTCCCGCAGCCGTTGAAGGAGCTGTTGCGTTCAGGGTGCTCTGGGTTGCCCCTCAGGTCCACCCCGCGCGCGGGTTTTTTCAGGGTTGGGTTTCTTGCGAGGGTTTCTTGCGGCCGCGGCCGCAACGTAGAGCCATCACATTAGAAACTGGACACTGGAACTGGCGCAGGGAACGGCAAGCCTCTGCCGCGCAGCCCGATGGCCCCATGAGGGAGCCGGCGGGTCCTCGTCCTGGTTTCGTCTTACTTTTCGAAATGCCCATGCCTTGGCATCGCTAGGACGTGTGGATATTTTCTCGGCGAGAACCATCGAGGACCATCCTGGATCATCGAGCAAAAAAAACACGCACGAAACTGAAAAATACACGGAAAATGGACGTCCCAGCGACGGCAAGATGCGGCCAAACGTTTACTTGAAGATTGGCCAAGCTATTGAGTTATGTGTTCCTCCAGCCGTTGTGGAACCCCTTGGGGGAACAATTGGGACAGGAAGAGGAAGGAGGAGGACAGGGAGGAGAGGAGGAAGAGGCCTTTGAAGGACATCTTGGGGCACTCTTGGGGGCCCCTGGGAGCCTCTGGTGGACCTCTTGGCATTCGGAGAGCCTCTTGGGCTTGGAGCCCTCTCGGACAGTCTTGCGGCCTTTTGGGGCTTGGGGCCTGTGGGGCCGTCTTGGGGCGATCTTGGGGGCCTGTGGGGCCGTCTTGGAGCGTCGGAAGCCCAAAAAGGCGAAAACTTCAAAATCATTAAAGAATTTTGCCTGGAAATCCTCTTGGAACCTTCGTGGGACGTCTTGAGGGGCTTCTGGGGCCGCCTGGAGAACATATCTAGCTGTCCTGCAGACATCTTGGAGGTTATCTGGGGCCACCTTGGCCGTCTTGGAGGCGGTTTGTCATGTTCTCTTAGGCCTTCCGCGCGGCCGGCGCGATCTGCTGGACCAACACACTAAAAGATTCAGCAGGCCAGGCACCCCTCTGCGGCAAAACCGAAAGGGTGGCGAATCTGGTGGCCTTCGGTTCATTCCGCCATCGTGCCTTGGTTATACGTCGGATGCCTCTTGCATGCCTGTGGGGAGGAGCTCTTGGGAGGCCTATCGAGAGTCTCTTGGAAGCTTTCTCGAAGTGTCTCGGGGGCTTCTTGGGGTCCTCTTGGGGGCCTCCTGGAGCTTTGGGGGGCTGTTGGGACCCGTTGGCGGTCTATGGGGTCATCTTGAGGCGGAGGGCTCGGAATGTCGGTTCGCGCTCCCCCTCCGTGCCCCTTCTTGGGGCCGTTTTTGACGCTTTGGTGGTTTCTTGGGCCTTCTTGGCCCTCTTAGGCCGTCTGGGGGCCCTCTTGCGAGCCGCCGTGGGGCAATCTTGGATGCCTCTTAGGCCGCCTTGGTCGGTCGTACACCCGAAATTGCGACAACGCCAAAACCCGTCCAGAACCTACGTAAGTTCAATGATGTTGGCCTCCTGCGGCCCTCATGGGAGGCCTTTTAGAGTCCTCTTAGGGCGCCTTGGGGCCTCTTAGGCCGTCTTGAGCCATCTTGGAGCGACCTTGGTCCGACTCGGGGCCCTCTTGGGGCCCTCTTGGCCTGTATTGGGGCCGTCCTGGCTCCGGATAAGTCACGCGGGAACATGCCCCACCAATCCCCACCACGCTGGAAGCCGAGGAAATCCGGCAATTTGGGGTCCAGGGTTCTTCATATTATATGTTGGAGGACTGAGGACTCGAAGGACCTGAGGACACTCCAAATCCTGCCTCAGGGCACGGTGGCGGATCTGCAAGGATAAGAGATGGAGGGATGAGGCGAGGAGGGGATTACATAATTACACTTCTCGATTTGTTCGTGTCATCCTTGCGCGCAAGGGGCCATGCTGATGTTCTCTGCATCGTGGGCGAGGAGAGGAGGAGAGAGGGAGGGAGGGGCGAGGACGGAGGGAGGAGAGGGCGAGGAAGGAGGCAGGGGGGGGGCAGGAGGGAGGAGAGGAGGAGAGCGGAGGAGGAGGTCGAGGAGGCCGAGGAGCGGGTCGGGCGGGAGGGCGAGGGCGAGGAGGGGGCGAGGAGGGAGGGCGAGGCGAGCCAGGAGGGAGGCGGCTTCCCGCTCCCGCGCGCGCCCCTGAGGCGAACGGCAGGTGACACCAGCGGCGTCTCATCCCCGGCCAGCGCCGAGGCGCCCCCCCTCCAGGAGGGGAGGAGGAGGGGAGGAGGAGGAGGAGGAGGAGGAGGAGGAGGAGGAGGAGGAGGAGGAGGGAGGGGGGAGGAGAGGGAGGAGGAGAGAGGAGGAGGAGGAGGAGGAGGAGGAGGAGGAGGAGGAGGAGGAGGGAGGAGCAGCAGGAGACAGGAGGAGGAGGAGGAGGAGGAGGAGGAGCAGGAGACAGGAGGTGGAGGGTTCCGCTTGGCCCGTTCGAAGGTGATAAGACGCAGCATTCAGACAGGAGAGGTCAGGGTCGTGCTGAGCTCCACTGAGCTCGCACGCGGTGGTTTCGTTGAGGCCTGCAACCGCCTTTTCCCACCATACGATGCGGAGTTTGTTGGAATTGAGCGGCGCAGTGTTTCTATGAGCAGTTTGATGAACCAGGTGGACACATTATGACTTAGAGAAGTGAAGAAACTTCAAATCTGGTTTGATTTGTCGGTGCCGAATTGTCATTGATATTGGCTAGATCGGCACTTTGGTGCTCATGACGGCTTAAGCATTGGCGACATGCGCGTTGCGTGTCGTCTTTGGTGTCGGACAGACGCTGGCATGAGCAGCAGGCACTCTTCCTGTCTTCCAGGCGCTCTTGACACCGGCCTGACGCTGTGTGCGGCATCGACCTGTCTTGCTTGTTTCCGCGGGGAGGAGGAGGAGGAGGAGGAGGAGGAGGAGGAGGAGGAAGAGAGAGGAAGAGAGAGGAAGAGAGAGGAAGAGAGAGGAAGAGAGAGGAAGAGAGAGGAGGAGAGAGGAGAGATGAGAGGAGAGAGGAGAGAGGAGAGAGCAGGAGGAGGAGGAGGAGGAGGAGGAGGAGGAGAACTGTGTTCGTATGTGTTGTCTTCGTGTCTATGGTTCCATGATGTTGTGGCCGTGGCGCACCGACAGGTCGTGCAGCTGCGAGCTTCAGAAGGCCCCTGGCTCGGCTAATTCCGAATGAGGCAAGGACGTGTTGTAGCAAGGTCTAGCAAGAGGCAGGAGTGGCGAGGCTAGCTATGGACTCTCAGGGCTGTCTATGTGCGAAGCACGCACGCACCTAGATTCCCAACGGCGGTCAGCTTCGATGGTATGTCCTTCCTTCCACATCCACGTGCCAGCTATATAATTTCACAGTTTCGTATGCTTGCAGTGTGGGCGAAAAGCTGAAACAGATCGTAAAGGGTGGTAGCGTTGCGGGTGTGATCGCGCACGATAGTTTATACGAGGCATGTCAGGTGGCGTTTCTGTTGGCCCTCCCTTCACCATGGCATGGGCATCAGCGACAGGGATATTGAATCGCCTCGCTAATTCCGCCGGCCTGTATTGTGCCATCGTTGGCGTTTGCGTGCGCGTTCGTGTGCCATGCGGGGCTGCTGGTCGGCGCTGCTGCTGTTGTGGGTGGGAGTCCGCATGGATGTTTCTTGGTGTCTCTTCGGAGGTCTCTCGGGGGGCTCCTGCATGGCAATTTGTTGGAGCTCTTGGGGGCCGCCTGGGGGCGCCTTGGATGCCTCTCGGGGCTCTCTTGGCGCCTCTCGGAGGCCTCTTGAACCCTCTCGGGGTGCTCCGGGGGGCCACTTGGGGCAGCCTGGGCGCCTCTTGAGGGCCAAACGCTCGAAATCGATGGGCTTTTCGGAAGGTGTCTTGGGACTGTCCGGTGAGAAACTTGGGCCGTCTTGGAGTCCCAATGGGCCGAAATGGGGCTCTCTTGGAGGCTCACCAGGCCGTCTTGGAGCGATCTTGGAGGCTTCTTGGGCAGTCTTGGAGCGTCGGCGGCCGAGAAGGTGAGAACGCTGAGAACCTTTAAAAACCAAAGGAACATCGTTGAGGTATCTTCGGGCGCCTTGGAGGTGATTGAAGCCGTTTGGAGACTATCTTGGGCATCTTGCATCGACTTCTGGTGACTCTGGGCCCTCTTCGACCGCCTTGGGGGCCTCTTGAGACGCTCTTGAAGGCCGGGAAGACAGTCCCCAGGAGTTCTGGCATCCGTGACGGGGACCGCCCGGGGACCGCCGAGGATTGGCATGGGGTACTTGTCGTCTGGGGAACCCCGAGGGCAGCCACGCGCGCGCGAACTAGAACTATTCCAAAGTTGCTACCGAAGATTTTCGCACGCCTTTGGCCGGCTGGGCCGGCGAATTTCAGGAGGGAAAAAACACACAGACACAATTAATCGTCGATTCCTTGGAAAATATGGGAAAATATGGGAATTGGGGGGGAAGACAAAAACCCAGAAAATATAGAAAAATATAGGGGAATCCTGTTATTTGTGTGTATTTATCTGTGTGTCCCAGGGCCCCTTCAGAATTAGCATTGATTACGGCACGAGGGAGTCCCTCGCACTGCGCTCGCGGGTGCCATTCTGGAGCGTTCGCAAGGTGAGCAGAGGGTGCCACGCGTTGGCTTGAATCCCGTGGGGTTCTGCAATGGGAGAGTTGTGCCAAGGTCCGCTCGATGGCAAGTGGTCGCCAGTGTCACTGCTTTGCTCGTGGCCGGCTGGACGGCCGAGTCACGTCTTGCGCGCTTGCTGACCCCCCCAGGGAGTACACAGAGCGAGGCATCCGACAGGGAAGGAGAAGGGCTCCCACTCACCCGCGTTCCTCGAGCTCATCAGTCGTGGGTCCATCTTCTCCGTCTCGCCCCCTTCCTCATCGCCCTTCTCTTCCCCCCACCATCCTCTTCCTCCCTCCTCTTTCCCCTCCCACCCTCTTATATCCTCTTCCCTCCTCTCGAGGCATCCTCTAAACTCATGCTCTCTCCTCCCTCCCTTCTCCTCCCCCTCCTCCCTCTTTCTCCTCTTCCTCCTCTTTCTCCTCCTCCTCCTCCTTCTCCTTCTCCTCGTCCCTTCCTCCTCTTCCCCTCTCAAAAACTAGCCTCCGGACCGCGGACCTGTCCACAGATGCATTCCGACCAGGACTTCGATGTGGATCCAGCTGGGGCCACGAGGGCGCCCCAGGAGGCCCAGAAGGGGCGAAGAACCCCCTCAAAAAAAACTACAACGTGCACAGAGACTCTGAACAGCGCCTCTGCATGAAGACTCAACGATGATGAGTCAGCACCACGTGGGAGCGTGCTTGGTGCGGGCGGCCGGTCCCGCAAGAGACCGAGAGCACGGCTCGGCGCCCCGGGCGAACAGCACGGCACGGCACGCTTGCCGCAGTCTGCAACCTCGGCAGGCACCATGCGCGGGGACGGCACGCCACGCCCTCCACGCCGCGTGGGGACGGCACGCCACGCTCTTCCCACCGCGCCACCCTTCACGGGCCAGGGCCTGGGCAACGCACAGCACGTGCTTCAGGAGGGAAAGAAACACACAGACACAATGAATCGTCGATTCCCCAGAAAATATGGGAAAACATGGGAAGTGGGGGGGAAGACGACAACCCCAAAGATTTTGGGAACATATGGGGATTATACTTTTACTTGTGTGGATTTACCTGTGTGTCCCAGGGCCCCTTCAGTGCCCCCGTGCTCGAACCCGAGCACGGCACGCGGGGGCACGGCGCGGCACGGCACACCCGCGTCGCTTTCCTGGAGCTCCGGCGCGGCGCTGCGCGTGCGCTCGGCGGGGCCTCTTCCCCGCCTGCCCAGGGCCCGGGCCTGGGCACGGCACGGCGCACGTCTGCATTCTGGAATTCACGGGCGGAGAACGGTATAAGATAAACTTTTTCGCCGTCGGGGACACCTGCCCCTGGGCGGCTAGAAAGTTTATACCCTTACGGTGGCACCGTAGGGGTATAAACTTTCCAGCCGCCCAGGGGCAGGTGTCCCCGACGGCGGAAAGTTTATTTTATATCGTTCTTCGCTCGCTGATGGAGCTCGGGCACGGCGAGGCACACGTTCCACATGCCAGTCCACGCCGGTCGTTGAAAGTAGGTGTTTTGGGACTCCCAGAGCCCAATCTTCTTCAGGGGCCTTCCTATTTCAAGAGTCGACACGCTTTTGCTGTGTTTGGTTATTCTCTGGGGGGCCTGAACCCAATCAACCTAGTCCGCCTTCCTACTTCATGTTCCTACCTACTTCTTCCGACCGACGTGTACCCAGGGACAGCGCGGTGCGGCACATATTGGGCTGGCCTCCGGCCAGTGCCGTCGATCCAGTAAACCCTAAACCCTAAACCCCAGGAATTGAAGTTTTCCATGCCCCCCTGTCCCCGGGTACCGAAAAACGTCGGAAATAACGCCCCCCCCTGCAGAGCGAAGCTTGAGCGAGCTCAAGTCCACGCTCTCAGAAACTCACACGCCGGATCGGCGGATTTCTCGACTCCCCCACCCGGCCATCCACCTCCCCCCCCGAGGCTCAGGCGTGCGCACGGGTGCTCCCGCACCTCGGAGTGGCCCCATCGTCGAGCGAGGCCCGCCCGGAGGCACTGAGGCGACAGGAAAAAAGGCTCGGTGGCACGAGGAACGCAGCTCGAAACCGATCTCTGGGAGAGATCATAGGGGAACAAAAAGTGGCATAAATATCAAAACTCGGAGGTCCGCGCGGATTTCTCGGATCGGCACTGGAGCTCCCCGGCGGCGCCTCCAGCGCCGCCCCTGGCGCGCTCCGCGCGCCAGGGAGGGGGTCCAGTGCCGATCCGAGAAATACGCGCGGACCTCCGAGTTTTTATGTTTATGCCACTCTTTGTTCCCCTAGATCAGTGCGAGAGGCTGGACAGGGAGGCGCAGAGAGGGACGAAAGGGGCGAGGGGAGCGACCTGTAAGACTGTCTCGTGGTGTCGCGGTGGTCTCTCCCCCCCTTTGAGAGCAGCAGCACAGCGCGACGCAGGGACCGCGCGCGCCGCACAGGGGAGCTCGCAGGAGACCCCGGCGGCGGCCAGCGGCGCGCTCGGCGCCGTCATTCCCCCTCGCCTCCTGCCTCGTCCTCGTCCTCCTCCGCCTCTCGCCTCCTGCTCGTCTCCTCGCCACCCCCTCCCAAGCCTTTTCCACCCCCTCGTCATCCTCACCCTCGCGTGCGTGTCTCCACCTCGTCCTCCCCTTCCTCCTCTGCCTCGTCCTCCTCCGTCTCGTCGTCCTCTTCCTGCTCCTCCTGCTCCTCCTGCTCCTGCTCCTGCTCCTGCTCCTCCTCCTCCTCCTCCTCCTCCTCCTCCTCCTCCTCCTCCTCCCGAAGCAGACCCAATGCAGGCCTGGGCGGTTTGGCCATGTTTAACAAGCACGCAAGGCGACGCCGAACTGTACACGGGCGGCCTCAGCCCGCGCTCTCTGCACGTAGGCGGGCTGCATGTCTGAATACATAAATAGCTCACTGCATGCGATTTCTCTTTGCTCGAACGGTCGAACCAAACTCTTGGAGCAGGCCTTTGCCTGACCTCCGCATGCGCCAAACCCAGGCCCATAAGTACGTGCGACACCGCTCCCAATCGGAAGTGTGCACGCTATCTGGGATGCCGTCGCGCATCTCAGGCCACAGGCCGTCGCAGCACTGGGTGCTTTTCTTTAACAAGACAGACTCGGCGCGTCCGTTCGGGCTGTTTGCCACCTCAGACGGGCGCACTCAGAAGTCGTGCGCGGCGCGTGCTTGAGGATGTACTCGAAGCCAACGTCGATGTCCACGTCGCCCGTGTCGAAGAAGGCGTCGACATTGCCCTTCTGCTGGACCTCAGGGAAAAGGTGGAACTGTCGAAATTGTTGACCCCCCAGGTGCTCGAAGGTGCATTGCCAAACGCGGACGCCGACCTTGGGGTGCTGGAACACGAGCTTCCGCACGCTGCCGAAAGCGAGTTTAGAGAAGGCCTGGAACCGCATCTTCGTCTGAGATGGCAGAACAACGTGCTTGATGATGGCTTTGGTGCCGTCCCCTGTGTCCAGGATGCAAAATTGCAGCTGGGAGTCAGCAGGCAAGGGCTCCTTGAAGCAGAAGGGGATGGGCAAGGTGTGCCAGGCGTTGCTCTTGGAAGCCTCACGATACTGCGCCTCCATGTCCTCTGGGATTGCGTCAGTGTGGTCGGTGATGAAGTCCACCCAGTGCACGAGCGGGTTGTCCAGCGGTGACGCCTCCGTGGTAAATTCCAAGAATGAGTCAGTGTGACCCTGTGGGAGAACAGGGGTAACTACGCACTCCCGGAGGGGGCGGCAGAAGTAGGCTTCGGTCAAGACCTTGGCGCCCTCGTAAGCCGACATGGGTGGCAGGGAGCGCGAGTCCGAACGAGGGGCCAGCGAGCGTGTTGGGGGCGCACAAAAGCATCAGCCGCAAAAGCTACGGATGCCCTATAACGCAGCGCTGCAAAGGTGCTTTGCAGTGGTGGCGTCGTGATCGCTGGCTTAGGGTCAGCACCGATGTAGGCATGCATCGTCATCGCTGCGGTCCGCGCTTGCGTTCGCCAGCGGGGGGCATACTTTTTGAGGATGCCCTCTGGTGCAGCCCCCGCCTCCTCTTTCTCCGTTCCGTCTTTCTCTTCCTCCTCTTCCTCCTGCTCCTCCTCCTCCCTCGCCCCCCTCGCCTCCTTCGCCCTCCTCGCCCTGCGTTGCTGCCCCTTCGCGCCGGCCCGCCCCCGCCCCGCGCGAGCGGCGTTCTTTCTCGCGCCCCGCTGCGCGCTGCTGTCTCTGCGCTAGTCCCCGTTCTCGTTGCACCACCACAGCCAGCACAAGTGCCTCACGCCGCTCTCAGACCAGTCCTTGACCTCCTTGGCCCAGTTGTTCGGCAGCTCCTGGGGCCGCCCCCGTCCCCAACGCAATCCTGCAGGCACAGCTTGAGGAAGACGCCCCACCAAGTCTGGAAGGAGCAGAGCTTGCGCTTGGCGTCGTCGCGCTCTCTCTCTCTCCACTCTCGCGCGGGCCCGCTTCTAGTAGTTCAGCTGCTTTTGGGTGTCCTTCAGCATCTCCTAGGGGCGGTTGATTTCCTTTCATGTCGCTTTGCGCCGTGCCCCCCGCCGAAAGTCCTCCGTCTGTCGCAGCTGCTCCCAGAGAGCTGCGCACATGGTGCACGTGTCTCGCTGGCAGTTTCGTCTGCGCGCCCACCCTGCGCTCGAGGTAAGCGATCCTGCGCTTTTGCGGGGCGACCATCGCCTCCTCTGCGGCCGCCTTCTTTTCCTTCCTCTTCTGCTGGTTGTAGAGACGGTTCCGCTCTCGCTTCCGCTCGACAGCGTCAGTGTTTGGTTTTGGTTTCCCCACTGTTGGGGAAAAGAGCGGGGGTGGCGCCGCGAGCTGCTTGAGCCTCGGTCGGGGCGCAGTGTGCTAGCTCGCGTTAGCTGCCCCCTCCTCCTCCTCTTCCTCCTCCTCCTCCTCTTCCACCTGCTCCTCCCCCTCCTCCTCCTCCTTGTCCTTGTCCTGCTCCTCGTCGTCATCTTCCTCCTCCTCCCTATCCGTCCTCGCTTTCCGTGCTCCGTCCTCTTCCCTCCCTCCCCCACTCCCCTCCTCCCTTTCCCACAGCGGCAAGGAAAAACCAAGAAACACACAAGGAACACAACAAAAAAACAAAGAAATCAAAGGCTGGGAGAAACAGCCAAAAGCCGAAGGGAAAAAAACAAAAAACTGTCAGATATAATTCCGTGGTCGACCGCCAGATTCTATTCGAAAGGTTTTTATTGAACTCTCACTCTTGAAGAACAATTATTAAGGTCCCCCCCACCGGTGCACATTGATTTGTTTCAAGTGAAGTGCCCCCCCGGGGCTCGCACCTTGTTTTTCGACACGGAAAGTTTTCCTGCTCAAACTAGCCCCCTGGCCCCCGGGTTACAACAACAACAACAGCTCCCGCCTGAGACTTCCTTACAATTTAGCCAGGACCCCCGCTCCCGCCCGAGACTTCATCGCATTTTATTCCAGAGTCGCGCTCTCGCTTGGGACTTCCTTACAATTTATTCAGGAATCGCTCCTGCCCTGGAGTCGCGCTCTCGCTGGAGACTTGCTTGCAATTTACTGAAGAATAGCGCCCGTGCGTTGGAATTTCTTGCAATTTACTCCAGCGCCGCGCTCCCGACACCCAGGCACCCAGGAGTCGCGCTCACGCTTAGGACTCCTTCACAGATTCTTTACGCTTCGCGTATCCCCACCAGCCCATCTCAAAACAGCAACTCTTGCGAAGCATGCCGACAGTCGTGTTTTTCAGGCGTGTTTCCGCCTGCCCCCGCATATCTCCCCTGTTCCTCTTTCCTCCCGCCTCCTTGTACATCCTCCTTGTGGTGGGAGCGGGAGAAGGACGAGGCGGAGGAGGAGGGAGAGAAAGCGCTCCTCGTGGTTTGAGTCGTTTGGGGTTTCTCGTCCTGGTGTGAGTCGTTCGGGCCCTTCTTCCTGGTGTGAGTCGTTCGGGCTCTTCGTGGTGTGAGTCGTTCGGGCTCTTCGTCCTGGTGTGAGTCGTTCGGGCTTCTCGTGGTGTGAGTTGTTCGGGCCCCTCGTCCTGGTGTGAGTCGTTCGGGCCCCTCCTCCTGGTGTGACTCGTTCGGGCTCCTCGTGGTGTGAGTCGTTCGGGGCCCTCGTCGTGGTGTGAGTCGTTCGGGCTCCTCGTGGTGTGAGTCGTTCGGGCGCCTCGTCCTGGTGTGAGTCGTTCGGGCCCCTCCTTCTGGTGTGAGTCGTTCGGGCTCTTCGTGGTGTGAGTCGTTCGGGCCCCTCGTCCTGGTGTGAGTCGTTCGGGCTCCTCGTGGCATGAGGCGTTCGGGCACCTCGTCCCCTTTTGGGGCGTCTTGGGGGCCTCTTGGCGGCCCCAGGGGCTTCTAGGAGCGTCTTGGGTGCCTTGGGGGAGCCTCTTCGGGCCTCTTGGGAGCCTTTTGGAGGCCGTTTGGGGCGTCTTGGGGGCCTCTTGGCGGCCCCAGGGGCTTCCAGGAGCGTTTTGGGTGCCTCGGGGGAGCCTCTTGGGGCCTATTGGGGGCCTCTTGGGGGCATCTTGGGGGCCTTTTGGAGGCATCTTGGGGGCCTCCTGGGGGCCTCTTGGGGCCATCTTGGGGCCTCTTGGTGCCTCCTGGGCGCTTCTTGGGGCCATTCGTGGAGGGGATGGATCAAAGAAGAGGGGAGCTTCAATGAGCGCTGCCCCCTCAGAAGGGCAAAATGAGCCCAAACCCTTCGTATAATCAATGATGTTGCCTGGAAGGAAGAGGGGAGCTGTAATGAGCGCTGCCCCCTCAGAAGGCCAAAATGGGGCCAAAACCTTAGTAACATCAGTGATTTTGGCTTCAAAGAAGAGGAGAGCATTTTTTCTGGTCCCCCCCGTCGGGGCCAGAATCCTCGTGAGGGGTGTCGTTGTTTTAGCCCTACCAGGAGTCGAAAAGGACCCCCCTGACCACCCGCGAAAGGACCTTTCCAGGCCCAGGGGGAGGGGGGAGGGGGAGGGGTAAACCCTTCCCCGAAGGGGAAGGAGGGTTGAGAACAGAGCGGGCTCTCTAAACCACTCACGCCCAAAGGGCTGGTGGGATTACCTAGGAATCGGGATCTCGCTGCCATTCGTGGCCCCGTTGCAGCCCTTCGTGGCCCCCTCGCTTTGTTTCGTGGCCCCGTTGCAGCCCTTCGTGGCCTCCTCGCTTTGTTTCGTGGCCCCGTTGCAGCTCTTCGTGGCCTCCTCGTTGCTCTTCGTGGCCCCGTTGCAGCCCTTCGTGGCCCCCTCGCTTTGTTTCGTGACCCCGTTGCAGCCCTTCGTGGCCCCCTCGCTGCCCTCCGTGGCCACGTTGCAGCCTTTCGTGGCCCCGTTGCAGCTCTTCGTGGCCCCCTCGCTTTGTTTCGTTTCGTGGCCCCGTTGCAGCCCTTCGTGGCCCCCTCGCTTTGTTTCGTGGCCCCGTTGCAGCCCTCCGTGGCCCCCTCGCCGCCCCCCGCGTGGTTGCAGGCCTCCCCCCAGCCTTCGTGGCCCCCCGCTTTGTTTCGTGGCCCCGTTGCAGCCCTTCGTGGCCCCCTCGCTTTGTTTCGTGGCCCCGTTGCATGTATGCCCTTCGTGGCCCCCGCTCGTTCGCGCCCGTGGTGGCCCCATATGCATGCCCTTCGTGGCCCCGCTGTCG